CCCTCCTCTCTCTCCCTCCCCCATCTCTCTCCATGCGCGCTCTCTCATGTTACCCCCCCCCTCTCTCTCTCATGTTATCTCTCACTCTCTCTCTCTCATGTTATCTCTCACTCTCTCTCTCTCATGTTATCTCTCACTCTCTCTCTCATGTTATCTCTCTCTCTCTCTCGCGCGTGTGATCTCTCTCTCTTTTCATTGTTGCCTCACATTTTACCACTTCATCTTTCTGATAAAGGGATTGATTTACTAAAGGCAATTAGACTGTGTACTCTGCAAGTGCAGTTGCTCCAGAGCTGAGTAAATGAGCAGAAGCTCTGCTGACTTCCATCATCCAATCCAAGTTTACAGCCAGAAAACTCCCCACATGCTATCCTATGTGTCCGTGCACACATAGGCTTTAACCCCTCGCCTACAGGGCACTCATACCCCCTTCCTGCCCAGGTCAATTTTCAGCTTTCGGCGCTGTCGCACTTTGATTGACAATTGCGCGGTCATGCAACACTGTACCCATATGAATTTTTTATCATTTTCTTCACACAAATGGAGCTTTCTTTTGGTGGTATGTACTTCCTGCTGGGTGTTTTTTTTTTTTTGGCGCTATAAACAAAAAAAGAGCAAAAAATTTAGTTTTTCTTTGTTTCTATTATAAAATTTAGCAAACAGGTAATTTTTCTCCTTCACTGATGTGCGTTGATGAGGTGGCATGAATAGGCTGCACTGATAGGCACTGATAGGCGGCACTGATAAGCAGCACTGAAGGGCACTGGTGGGCAGCACTGATAGGCAGCAGTGATGAGCTGGTACTGATGAGACGGACCTGATGATGCTGGACTGATATGCAACAATGATGGGCACTGATAGGTGGCACCGATGGGCACTGATAGGCAGCACTGATGGGCAGCGCTGGGCACTGATGGGAGGCACTGACTGATGCCACTGACTGGCAGCACTGCTGGGCACTGACTGGCGGCACTGATGGGTGGCACTGATGGGCACTGGTGGGTGGCACTGCTAGGCACTGATGGGCACATGTGGGTGGCACTGATGGGCACAGGTGGGTGGCACTGCTGGGCACTGATCATCAGTGCCCTGATGATTGGTGCTGATCCCTGCTCTGACAATTGCCACTTCTCGGCAGTACTTTCCTCACGCTGTGACAGCGTGAGGAAAGTGCAGCTGATAACCGGCAATTGCATTTACCGGTGATCTGCTGTGTCATTGGACACGGCTGATCATGTGGTAAAAGGCCGCTGTGATTGGCCTTTTGGCCTTTTTTCATAGGACACAGCAATCACTGAGATCGCCGGGTGCCCGCCCCTGGGGGCGAGCAGGAGGGCGCATTCTGGGAGAACATCATATGACGCCCTCCTAGAACTGGACAACCACGCCGTAGCTGTCATTCAGCTATAGCCCGGTTGTAAAGTGGTTAATCAGGGGCATTTTTTTGACTGGAAAAAAAATCACAGAACTAGTGAGTTTTTTAGCTGTAGAAATGCTCATATGCTGGAAAACACAGTAAAACACATCAAAACGCAGTAAAATGCAGCAAACCAGCGTTTTTGGACTTTTTTCGAAATTATTTTTTGCAAAGAAAACACAAATGTGGAAAAACGCAGCAAACTGCTAATACAAAAACACAAAAAAAAAACCTGAAAAACATGCAATTTTAACATAACTTTACGTAGCAAGCGCTACCAGCGCTTTTAAACCGCCCCGTGTGCGTGGAGCCTAATAGATCTTTTTTATTAAAAGCTGTCTGCAAAGATTTACAGCGATCTGCAGGACGATTTACTGCTTTCCAGCCCAGAATACATTTCAGTTTTAGGCAAACATGAAAGAGCTATGCTTGCAGATTTGTTAGCGGTGCTGTAAGATGTTGCGGATCCGAAGTGTTGGATGACACAAAGGTGTGTAATTGGGTTGATATACCTGGAGGTGTTGTCACATAACACTTTTTTACCATTTTTGGAAAACTAGTTCAAGAAGAGTAAAAGTGTCCCGGATTGTAAAACAATATACACTCACAGAGTATGATATGGGGGTGCAATGCTGGCCAGAGCTACAGAAGAAAAAGATTTTGGGGTCCTCGTTTCTGATCACTTAAAATGGGGCAAATAGTGTGGACTGGCAGTGAGAAAACCGAGTGAAATTGGTGGCTGTAGTAGTAGTAGTAGTAGTAGTAGTAGTAGTAGTAGTAGTATTTGTTGCTGAAATTAAGTGTTCTTGCATGGCGACCACTTACTGTTATCTCATATATATATTCTTATTATTATAGCCAAATTTACCCCCCTAACTCCTCCCACAGTTTATACACTACATACACAGTAATATACCGAAACGTGCGGATTGTTCCCGATTGGTGTGCTATTACTTTGTGGAACGTTTAGCCGAATGGTTCACGAAATATCGCCGTTTTTGTGGTGAAATTGGTCCCATAGGAATGATGAATGGCGGAATGTTCAAAACTAGTGTGGGAGCTGACAAAACCTTTTCACAGTTACTCCAGCCACTCCAGCCACACAACGGTTACTCCAGCCACTCCAGCCACACAACGGTTACTCCAGCCACTCCAACCACACAACGGTTACTCCAGCCACTCCAACCACACAACGGTTACTCCAGCCACTCCAACCACACAACGGTTACTCCAGCCACTCCAGTCACACAACGGTTACTCCAGCCACTCCAACCACACAACGGTTACTCCAGCCACTCCAGCCACACAACGGTTACTCCAGCCACTCCAACCACACAACGGTTACTCCAGCCACTCCAGCCACACAACGGTTACTCCAGCCACTCCAGCCACACAACGGTTACTCCAGCCACTCCAGCCACACAACGGTTACTCCAGCCACTCCAGCCACACACACGGTTACTCCAGCCACTCCAACCACACAACGGTTACTCCAGCCACTCCAGTCACACAACGGTTACTCCAGCCACTCCAGCCACACAAACGGTTACTCCAGCCACTCCAGCCACACAACGGTTACTCCAGCCACTCCAGCCACACAACGGTTACTCCAGCCACTCCAGCCACACAACGGTTACTCCAGCCACTCCAACCACACAACGGTTACTCCAGCCACTCCAGCCACACAACGGTTACTCCAGCCACTCCAGCCACACAACGGTTACTCCAGCCACTCCAACCACACAACGGTTACTCCAGCCACTCCAGCCACACAACGGTTACTCCAGCCACTCCAACCACACAACGGTTACTCCAGCCACTCCAACCACACAACGGTTACTCCAGCCACTCCAGCCACACAACGGTTACTCCAGCCACTCCAACCACACAACGGTTACTCCAGCCACTCCAGCCACACACACAACGTTACTCCAGCCACTCCAACCACACAACGGTTACTCCAGCCACTCCAGCCACACAACGGTTACTCCAGCCACTCCAACCACACATCGGTTACTCCAGCCACTCCAGTCACACACAACGGTTACTCCAGCCACTCCAGCCACACAAACGGTTACTCCAGCCACTCCAGTCACACAACGGTTACTCCAGCCACTCCAGCCACACAACGGTTACTCCAGCCACTCCAGCCACACAACGGTTACTCCAGCCACTCCAACCACACAACGGTTACTCCAGCCACTCCAACCACACAACGGTTACTCCAGCCACTCCAGCCACACAACGGTTACTCCAGCCACTCCAACCACACATCGGTTACTCCAGCCACTCCAGCCACACAACGGTTACTCCAGCCACTCCAGCCACACAACGGTTACTCCAGCCACTCCAACCACACAACGGTTACTCCAGCCACTCCAGCCACACAACGGTTACTCCAGCCACTCCAACCACACAACGGTTACTCCAGCCACTCCAGCCACACAACGGTTACTCCAGCCACTCCACCCAGTTACTCCGCCCACTCCAGTTGTAGACTACTGGTGGAGGCAAGAACACTTCACACAATTTCCCCAGAAATTGTAGCTTTTCTAGTTATTATTATTATTGTCACAGTGTTTGCTCTCCCCCCTCTGCTGGCCCGCATCTGTGGTGACCCCCTGCTGTCTCTCTTCCTGCAAAATCTAAAATATAACTCCAATTACCAGCCAGAAGTGGCAGTTATGGTATTAGTAGTAGTAGTAGTAGTAGTTATAGTAGTGTGGTTGTTTTATTAGTATTGTTATGTTTATTTATTATTTTTCTATTAGTAGTAGTATATAGTATTATTATTAATATTATCTCCAGCAGTAGTATTATTGTTTTATTATTAATTAGTATTGTTATTATTATTTTTATACTTTGTTTTATAATAGTATGAGTATTGCTGTATTATTAATTAATATTTTTTGTTAGTAAAATAATTTCTATTATTATTAATAGTATTATTTTTTATTATTATTATTATTGTTTATTTATTTATTTGTGTAATAGATATGCCATAAACCTCAAAAAATATCTCCAATCCCCAAAAATCAACAATGAAAGAGGAAAAAAAATGCCGTCATTATTTTAATGCAAATGATTGTCAGCCGCCCGCCGTACAGCAGACAGAGCGGTGAAATCCGGCTCAGAGGCATCATTTTTTATAATGATTCCCAAATTAGAAAATTGCTTCTAGGTGTCTCCGATTTTCAGCTTCCAAAGACATCGCGGATTTCACAAGGAGCCGGAGAAAAAAGCGGAGAAGCCCAATCAGACAACTAATAATATGACATCTGGTCACACTGGAATTGACAGCGCTGTCAGCGGTATTACCGACGGGTATTCTGCGTTTGTTTGTCTCCCGGATTCTTTCTCCTCCATTGTATTTTGCTTTATTGGGAGAATTTTTAAAAAGGGAACCTGAGGGGATAGAAATATAGATTTTTTTTTAACTGTGTGGTTTTGGTGACACCTTTCCCATCTTGGTGTCACTACCTGATGAGTGGCTGACCTGGAAAAAAATGTATGTCTCACAGTATGTCTCATACTTTGCAGGCTTCACTGGCCACATGCTTACTTTAGGCATTTTAAAGGGGAAACTCCATCCTTTCTTCCAGTCTTGCACAGGTGTATTGGCTCCTTCCCTCAATTCTTGCACAGGTGTACCGGCTCCTCCCCTTCAGTCTTGCACAGGTATATCGGCCCCTCCCCTTCAGTCTTGCACAGGTGTACTGGCTCCTCCCCTTCAGTCTTGCACAGGTGTACCGGCTCCTCCCCTTCAGTCTTGCACAGGTGTACGGGCTCCTCCCCTACATTCTCACACAGGTGTACCAGCTCCTCCCCTTTAGTTTTGCACAGGTGTATCGGCTCCTTCCCTCAAGTCTTGCACATGTGTACCAGCTCCTCCCCTTCAGTCTTGCACAGGTGTACCAGCTCCTCCCCTTCAGTCTTGCACAGGTGTATCGGCCCCTCCCCTTCAGTCTTGCACAGGTGTACTGGCTCCTCCCCTTCAGTCTCGCACAGGTGTAAAAGCTCCTCCCCTCCAGTCTCGCACGAGTGTACCAGCTCCTCCCCTTCAGTCTCGCACAGGTGTACCAGCTCCTCCCCTCCAGTCTCGCACAAGTGTACTGGCTCCTCCCCTTCAGTCATGCACAGGTGTACCGGCTCCTCCTCTTCAGTCTTGCACGAGTGTACAGGCTCCTGCCCTTCAGTCTCGCACAAGTGTACTGGCTCCTCCTCTTCAGTCTTGCACAGGTGTACTGGCTCCTCCCCTTCAGTCTTGCACAGGTGTACCGGCTCCTCCCCTTCAGTCTTGCACAGGTGTACTGGCTCCTCCCCTGGACTGAAATGTCTTCCTCTGATATCACTGCACCCTGTGAGCTTCTCACAATGTGCATTAGAAGCTGCAACAAGTACGATAGAGCCTCATTTCCTGGCTGGAGGAAGTCCAGCATCATCTAGCCCAACCTTCTGAACAAAGGGCTGGGTTATTATGCTTTAGACTTCAAGGGGGCCAGACAGTGACCAGCGGGAGTGGAAATTTTCTGGCATCAGTGGAAGTAAACATCATCACATTTGGTCTTAGGGGGAGGAATAGTGCCCCAAGGGCCAGATAAAGGCAAGCAAAGGGCCGCATCCAGCCCCTGGGCCATAGTTTGGAGACCAATGATCTAGCCCTTTCCTAGTCCCTGGCCCCGCCCCTTTTCATTTGTTGGATATTAGTCCTTTTACCTGAAGTTCACATTTTTCCAGTTTGCAGAAACGCACTGCAGTCCATTGAACATGGTCTCCTATGGATCTAGTTCACATCTGTGAATTTTGAGCTGGTGCGTATTTTGGAAAGGGTCAGGGACATTTTTTACCCCAGCGGATTGCTTTTTGCGTGTAATAGACTTCAGTAGATTTGCACCAAAAATTTTGCAGCGGGGGGGGGGGGGGCGGTGACTTTGATGCTACTTTTATGTGAATTTACACACACTAGCACTCAGGTAGCATTCAAGCCACACCCAGGGGCGGACTGACCGTTTGGAAACTAGGGCACTGCCCGAGGGCCCGGGGTCAGTAGGGGGCCCCATGAGATGCCCCTGGTACCTTTTTCATAGGCTTTTTTGAGTTTGGGCAAGGACACAGGGGCCCCATGATCCCCTATTGCCCGGGGGCCCCATGAGTTGCCCGGGGGCCCCTAGTCACACCCATCCAAAGTGGCATCAAAGTCAATGCTTTCCTATTGGCAATAAAGAAATGCAAAACGCACTGTGAAATCGCACAATCCTCAATCTGCATAGATGTGAACCTAGCCTTAATGGTGGCTACCTATGGCTGTCCAGACTGCCTAGGAACACCCACTCTTCCAGACTGACCCCCACCCATCAAGGCAATTTAAAATTTGCATAATCCCTCCCACTGCTTGCATCAGGACTGAGGACTCTTGACAGGAGTACTGAGCCCGGGTGCTGTGATGTTTTTTAGGAAGCTATGTACAGCACCCTGCCAGCCCCTCCCACTAGCCATGATGTGCCTGCATTGCATAGAAAAGCACAGATGTGCATTACCCTGCTGGCCCCTCCCACCAGCCAAGATGTGCCTGCATTGCATAGAAAAGCACAGATGTGCATCACCCTGCTGGCCCCTCCCACCAGCCAACATGTTGTTTTACCCTGAGGCATGAAGGGGTTAAGATCAGGACTATCCTGTGCCAACTGTAAAGCATGATGGCGGTGCATCATGATTTCACCAGCCATATCTTGGTATTCTGCAGGTCCCATCATCACCTTGAAAGGCAGGGTCACAGCCAGCAACTATGTACAAATTTTGGCTGACCATGTGCCCCCCCCCCCCCCCCATGGTGCAGACATTGTTTACCAAAGACAGCGCAGTTTCCCAAGGTGATAATCTTCCGATTCACACAACCACCGGTGTTGTCAAATTGTGATTTAACCCCTTCACGCCCTAAGGGTAAAACAAATCTTAACGCCTAAGCACAATTTTGCAACTTTGACACGTGTTAGTAAAACCGTCCGTATCATCACAACTTTGTACATCCAGGTGGATTATACCACCTTTTGTTCAGGACAAAGTGGGCTTTCATTTGGTGGTAGATGGTCATGGATATCTCCTGATTTATTTTTTATTATCAAAGGAAAACTGGCAAAAAATAGTACAAAAAATTTTTTTTTTTAAATTTAGCTGTGTGTTACTACCCTAACCTACCACCAAAGAACAACCCAAAATAAATTTTCCAGCTCTTGACGATCGCCCGCGATACCATATATGTGTATGTTGTATGTTGTTTGTACCCGGAGTACAGCCCAGAAACAATAGTGCGCATTTTGTTTTTTTTTTTGGTTTTTTACCTAAAACACACTGACACTAACAGACACTGATTCCAATTTTTAAAAAAAGACCTTTGACCCTGACATTTGACCTTGATCTTTGACCCTGACCTCAACCCAAACACTAACCCTGGCACTTAAAACTAGATTAAACCTTGATCTACAGTTGCAAGAAAAAGTATGTGAATCCCTTGGGATTCCGTGGAGTTTTGCATGAATTGGGCATAAAATGTGCTCTGAACGTCATCTAAGTCACAACAATAGAAGAACACAGTCTGCTGAACATAATACTACACAAACATTAGATGTTGCCATGGTTTAATTGCACATAACATGTAAACATTCACAGTGCAGGGAGGAAAAAGTATGTGAACCCCTTGGGATTCCGTGGAGTTTTGCATGAATTGGGCATAAAATGTGCTCTGAACGTCATCTAAGTCACAACAATAGAATGTGAATGTTTACATGTTATTTGCAATTAAATCATGGCAACATCTAATGTTTGTGTAGTATTATGTTCAGCAGACTGTGTTCTTCTATTGTGACTTAGATGGCGTTCAGAGCACATTTTATGCCCAATTCATGCAAAACTCCACAGAATCCCAAGGGGTTCACATACTTTTTCTTGCAACTGTAGGGATTTTTATATATATATATATATATATATATATATATATATATATATATATATATATATAAACCTTTTTTCTACAAACAGTTGTTTTTTTTTCTCTCTGCAAGGAGAGAGAGAGATACAATGTATCTCTCCTCCTCCATTCAGAGAGAACAAAAAGCCAAGGGGTGCGGGCTTCAGAGTGACTGATCACTGTGATAGCCAATCAGAGGCTATCACAGAGATCATGTGACCTGATCGTTAGAACGGGACCTGGGGCTCTCAGTGACACCCCGGTCTTTGTGCTGGGAGCATGCCCCACAGCGCGCTCCCAGCACAAAGACCGGGGTGTCACGGAGAACCCCGGGTCCCGTTCTAATGATCAGGTCACATGATCTCTGTGATAGCCTCTGATTGGCTATCACAGTGATCAGTCACTCTGAAGCCCGTACCCCTTGGCTTTTTGTTCTCTCTGAATGGAGGAGGAGAGATACATTGTATCTCTCTCTCTGCTTGCAGAGAGAAAAAAAAAACAACTGTTTGTAGAAAAAAAGTTTATATATATATATATATATATATATATATATATATATATCTAAAAAAAAATCCCTACAGTTGCAAGAAAAAGTATGTGAACCCCTTGGGATTCTGTGGAGTTTTGCATGAATTGGGCATAAAATGTCCTCTGAACGCCATCTAAGTCACAATAGAAGAACACAGTCTGCTGAACATAATACTACACAAACATTAGATGTTGCCATGATTTAATTGCAAATAACATGTAAACATTCACATTCTATTGTTGTGACTTAGATGACGTTCAGAGCACATATTATGCCCAATTCATGCAAAACTCCACGGAATCCCAAGGGGTTCACATACTTTTTCCTCCCTGCACTGTGAATGTTTACATCTTATGTGCAATTAAACCCTGGCAACATCTAATGATTGTGTAGTATTATGTTCAGCAGACTGTGTTCTTCTATTGTTGTGACTTAGATGACGTTCAGAGCACATTTTATGCCCAATTCATGCAAAATTCCACGGAATCCCAAGGGGTTCACATACTTTTTCCTCCCTGCACTGTGAATGTTTACATGTTATGTGCAATTAAACCATGGCAACATCTAATGTTTGTGTAGTATTATGTTCAGCAGACTGTGTTCTTCTATTGTTGTGACTTAGATGACGTTCAGAGCACATTTTATGCCCAATTCATGCAAAATTCCACGGAATCCCAAGGGGTTCACATACTTTTTCCTCCCTGCACTGTGAATGTTTACATGTTATGTGCAATTAAACCATGTCAACATCTAATGTTTGTGTAGTAAAAATGCGTCCCCACAGAAAAAAATTCCCCAGTTCTGTGACACCACATATTTGTGTGACGTCGGCGTCAGCCCAGGAACAATAGTGCGCATTTTGTTTTTTGTTTTTTTCTTACCTAAAACACGCTGACACTGGCACTAATACCTATTTTTTTTTTTTTAAATCCTGACCTTTGACCCTGAGCTTTTGACCTTGACCTTTGACTCTGACCTTAACCCAAACACTCACCCTGGCACTGAACTAAATCAAACCTTGATCTAGGTATTTTTTATTTTACATTTTAATATTTATTTATCTTTTTTTTTTTACAAACATTTTTTTTCTTCCCCTCAATGCCGGGAGTTAGAGAGATACAATGTACCTCTCTCTTCCATTCATAGAGAGAGAAAAAAAAAACCAAGGGGGCCGGGCTGTACAGCGACTGATCGCTGTGATAGCCAATCAGAGGGGATAGCGATAGCCAATCGTTAGAACGGGACTCGGGGCTCTCAGTGACACCGCGGTCTTTGTGCTGGGAGTGCGCTGTGCGACCCCACAGAAAAAAGCCCAGTTCTGTGAGGCCGCATATTTGTGTGACGGCACGAAGGGGTATATGAGCATGCAGACGAAGTCTCGCACCTTCCCGGGCCGTCACGGTCCTCAATATCATAGAGCCACTATGGTCAATTTCAGAGAACAAGGTTCCAGCTTGTTTTCTCTGCGAGAACATCATCCAAGACTTCTATTTGTCAATTCCCAGGGGAATTCAGATCGTCTTGGATGCCAATGGCGGTCCAGCACCATATTAGGTAATGATTTCATTCTTATACCTGGCACCAGAGGCGTCCCTAG